TTCCACAGGAAAAGAAGAGTTTTCCTGAGTATTTCAGAATAGAGTGAATGTTAGTTGTCTGTAGGGAAAATATAAGTTTTTGTCGTCGCAGTTATTAAGCACTCATAAATCTCTCACTTGTGCAGGGACCAAGCTCACAGAGTAAATTTCTCTGGTGCACCATCATTGAAAAAACCAATCAAATTGATATTTGTAGCATTTGTTCTAGCTCTAATTGGAAGTTTTATGAGGTAGCAAATTCAAACGAAAGTGCAGCAGAAAAGTATGGTAGTTGGAAAATGCCACTGAATTACTATTTGGGCTAGCTGGTTTTTTTTTTTTTTTTTTTTTTTTTTTTTTTTTTTTTTTTTTTTTTTTTTTTTGGCTTGTACTAATATGTAATTATAGTTGAACCCTATATTTAGGTACCTCCACTTCAACTGTGAATTAATTTTTTTTATTCTTGTATGGTTTAATTATAGTCAAAATTGTTATAGAACATTATTCTTGGCATCTTAGACATGAGACGCATGTCTTTTTATTTATTTTTATAAAAAAAATTGGGAAGGGCAAAGGGGACAGCGGAAGTAGAATTCACACATGTGTGCTAAACTTCTATGATGCCATGGAACTGAATGCTCGGATGCATGTTTTCACATTTGAACTAACACATTGATCAAGAGAAACAATTTGAGTTATTGGGACTGATAAAAGATATACGTCACAATTTGATTTGTTTTAATAAAGTTGTAGCCCTATGTATTCTATTCAAAATAAGGTCAAGAGAGGAGATTCCAGAAAATGTATAACATCATAGCTAAAAATTAAACCCATGTCAAGGGGAGTTCATTGATAGGTAGCCTGCCACTACTTATCTCCATGGTAATGAACGAAGGCAACCATACTTACTTATAAACAATGGTCATTACAAGTAATGTTTTGGAGTTTGCCGAATAAATTTGAAGCACCATAGTTATTAGTGATTTCTCTTGGGTTGTCTAACATAAAAGTAGATTCAAGACTCTTCAACATCTATATTTACTTAAAAGGAAGAAAGTCAGCCTTGAGATTTTGCCAAGTGTCGTGTGCATGAAATGCTAAGTAGCAATTTTAAGACAAATTAGTTATTTTAGGTAAAATTAGTTTTTCTTTTTAAATTTTGAATTTGAATAGGTATATTGTTTTTTAAAAGAAAAAGAAACAGTAGTTATTGTTTTTAAGGAACACGGTAATTTGGGAACGCTATTTGCCCTAAAATATCATTCTACAGAAACCCCACGATCTCTCACCGCGATTTCAACTCCTCACCTAACGCAACGCCTATTTGCCCTAAAATATCAATTCTACAGATTTGGTTCTTCAATCCTACGATCTCTTGTCGTGATTTCAACTCCTCATCCACGAACTCTTCTGCGCTTCATTTTCAATAACATGATTTCATAGTTTTGTTAAATTAGTTTTCTATTTTTATAGTATAATAGTTCTATTCTTTCTTCCAAGTGTGCATATCAAACAACAATTTTGGACTACAAGAGGTGATTGATATGATTTGTATTTTATGAACAATCTTTCAATTTCGTTAACAGATAATTAAATACAACTCTCTTTATTATTCCAGTTGAGATTATTTTTCTGTAACAGATATTTTCTGTGAAGTTTGTTGACGGCGTATGTAATATAAAAAAGATCAAATTTTCATAATCTATATTCCTGTTTGCGTATTGATTACTTAAAAGGAAGAAAGTCAGCCCTAAGATTTTGCCAAGTGTGGTGTGCATGAAATGCCAAGTAGCAATTTTAAGACAAATTAGTTATTTTAGGTAAAATTAGTTTTTCTTTTTAAATTTTGAATTTGAATAGGTATATTGTTTTTTAAAAGAAAAAGAAACAGTAGTTACCGTTTTTAAGGAACACGGTAATTTGGGAACGCTATTTGCCCTAAAATATCATTCTACAGAAACCCCACGATCTCTCACCGCGATTTCAACTCCTCACCTAACGCAACGCCTATTTGCCCTAAAATATCAATTCTACAGATTTGGTTCTTCAATCCTACGATCTCTTGTCGTGATTTCAACTCCTCATCCACGAACTCTTCTGCGCTTCATTTTCAATAACATGATTTCATAGTTTTGTTAAATTAGTTTTCTATTTTTATAGTATAATAGTTCTATTCTTTCTTCCAAGTGTGCATATCAAACAATAATTTTGGACTACAAGAGGTGATTGATATGATTTGTATTTTATGAACAATCTTTCAATTTCGTTAACAGATAATTAAATACAACTCTCTTTATTATTCCAGTTGAGATTATATTTCTGTAACAGATATTTTCTGTGAAGTTTGTTGACGGCGTATGTGATATAAAAAAGATCAAATTTTCATAATCTATATTCCTGTTTGCGTATTGATTACTTAAAAGGAAGAAAGTCAGCCCTAAGATTTTGCCAAGTGTGGTGTGCATGAAATGCCAAGTAGCAATTTTAAGACAAATTAGTTATTTTAGGTAAAATTAGTTTTTCTTTTTAAATTTTGAATTTGAATAGGTATATTGTTTTTTAAAAGAAAAAGAAACAGTAGTTATTGTTTTTAAGGAACACGGTAATTTGGGAACGCTATTTGCCCTAAAATATCATTCTACAGAAACCCCACGATCTCTCACCGCGATTTCAACTCCTCACCTAACGCAACGCCTATTTGCCCTAAAATATCAATTCTACAGATTTGGTTCTTCAATCCTACGATCTCTTGTCGTGATTTCAACTCCTCATCCACGAACTCTTCTGCGCTTCATTTTCAATAACATGATTTCATAGTTTTGTTAAATTAGTTTTCTATTTTTACAGTATAATAGTTCTATTCTTTCTTCCAAGTGTGCATATCAAACAACAATTTTGGACTACAAGAGGTGATTGATATGATTTGTATTTTATGAACAATCTTTCAATTTCGTTAACAGATAATTAAATACAACTCTCTTTATTATTCCAGTTGAGATTATTTTTCTATAACAGATATTTTCTGTGAAGTTTGTTGACGGCGTATGTAATATAAAAAAGATCAAATTTTCATAATCTATATTCCTGTTTGCGTATTGGTTACCATTGATCTTTGGAATGTGTTGAAATTTTTGTATAGGAGGTTAAGTATTCACTATGATGCTTGCTTAATTTTGCTGGCTACTTTATTTTCTAATGCAAAACTTTCTTGATTGTTTTTGAACGATGTAAAGTTAATGATTTTGTCTATATTGCGATAGCATTCTCCCAATTCCTTGAATTAGATTATTGGAGTTTTCTTGCTTATTTTTCCTAAGCGCATACCACAATATATTACATTTTATGTTAATTACCTGATTACACTTTGCATCAATGTCTTCATTTTTATGTACACTTCTACTCAATTAACAACGGGCTTAATAGCGGCTCAAATAAATTTTGTTACTGAAATTAACAGCAAGTCAATGAATTGGAAGTTAAAGGTTCGTATTGTCAAGCTTTGGGAAAATCAGGATCGCAATAGTCTTGATAGCCCTTTTCAATTGAGATTATTCTGATCGATGAAAAGGTATTATTTTAAACTTTACGCATACTTCTATTTTGCATTGTTTATATATGCATAAGTACATTATAGTTATATATAAAATAATTTTGTCATTTTGACTAATTGAGTATTATTGTAGGGCGACCGCGTTCACGCAAGTATTGGCAGGTCTTTTATCCAAAGGTTGAAACAACGAATTAAGGAAATGGGTACATCACGAAGAATTTCGTGGTTTGTCCAAATAATATGCAACTGAAGACTAAAGATCACAAGTTTAAGTTGATGTTCACGCAAAAGATCTTTGTTGATGAAATACAGGATCCACATTTCAACGTGTGTATCTTCATCAAATTTATAACCTATGAGCAGTTGTCAAATCCCCAAGAATTTGACACTATTGAGTTATTCGGTAATTAACTTTTTTCTCATTTTTTTTTCAGTTTCATTTTGCTTTTCGTTATTTGTTTTCTATCTTATAAGTTCTAAGTGATAACTAAATCAATCCTAATTACGGTACAAAAGATCAAAGTTTAAGTTTTATACTAAAGCTGAATGTATTGACTTTGTAATTAGATCCTTAAGCATTTAGGTGGGTGATTAGTTTTGTTTATTGTAGCTTTATTCTTCTTTCTTTCATCTGTTCTCTCTGTCCTTCTAATGAAATTTTAATAATGAAGTTATACTTAAATTCTTAGAATTCTCCAAAAGCTCTCTTTTTTCATGTGTGTATTATATTTTATGATAAAATAAAATAACAAAAGACTGTATTTATTTATGCTTGAGTAAACTTAAGTACCATGGAAGAAGAATCATAAGAGTAAATGCATATGATATCTTAGGCCAGATGCGCATAGTAATAAATTTTACCACATATTTTACATAAGTTGTTATATATACCTGAAAGGTAACTACTTGCTTTTGGTAAACAAATAAAAGTTATTGTAAAATTTAGGCGTCCTCTATCGAAAATAACAATCTGATTTCTGTCTTATAAGTAAATATAGATTTTCAGTTTCATTTAACATTCTTTAATCTATTTTCTGTCTTGTATGTTCGGTATACCAATTGCTATATCTTGGGTAGATATTGAAACTTATTAATTCTTTTACATTCTTCATTTATATTGTCTATAATGATTATCAATTTTGCACTTATTTCCTTGGGTCAATTTTATTTTAGATGTTATTGGTGAAATTGTGATCTATGCGGACATACAGACTATCAAACAAGATGATAGCATTCGTATGTTCGTGAACATTGGGATACAAGATAATGAATAAGTTCGCCATAATTAATTAAACAAAATAAATATTTCAACAATTCTTTATTTTGATTCTTGTGCTTAATCTTATAATAATTGTAGGAGTAATAACATTTTTGCAATATTTTGGGGAGACTTTGTGGAACAGATCAAGCCACATTTGAATGGATCTAATGATAAGCATGTTGTCGTTGTCATGCAGTTGATTACAGCACACCGATATCGAGATTATTAAATTGTCTACTTACTTTGGAATACAATGTCAGGAAAACTATGAAATGATCCAACCATCTTACTTTGGAATACAATGTCTGTCTACTTATAAAGAAATACATTCCTTCTCCGCATGAAGAGACATTCAAAGTATGTTTCTATAGTCAAGTTCTTCTCAATTTTCCTATTTGTGATTGAATTAAGTTTTAATTATGATACACATTTTTTTTATAGGATCCAGATTTCAATAAACAAAGTCAGTCATGAAGATAACGAAATCACGGTAATTTTATAACTCATTATTAATATTTTACATAATCCATTCTTTTGATTTGTAGGTTATAAAATAATAAAGCAATAAGAACTATATATTAACTACTGATTTTGTCAAGTTTTTATATTTTAAATATGTAGGATTCCGCTGAAGATCATGGGTTGACCGATATTGCAAATACACCTGCCAAGATAGGTATAACTAATCTTGCAGTAGTGGTTGAAGAAGATTCGAATGCACAATTATCAGGAAATAAGATCAAGAGAGTATTTAATAAGAAGAAGACAATATAAGCTTTTGCATATGTAACAGTTGGAGAATCCAAAAACTGTCTGATTAGTTACTTTATTAGTTTTATTAGTTATAAACAAGATGGTTGAATCATTTCATATTTTTCCTAATATTGAACTTTTCATGTTTAGTTAGTTTGGTAATTTCATTTATTATGGACAAAATATTTGAATCAGTTCATGGTTCTTTCAGATACTAAACTATTCCTTATCTAAATACATATGACGTTTCGTATATTTTTAAAACTCCATTGATTTTTTACTTAATTAGGCTTCTTGATGGTGTTGGTTATTTTTTTTACCCATTTCACTACTATGTTGGTTTTATATGTAGTCGATAAATTTTTCTCTATTATTGGTTGATATATGTATCCATTAAGCTATCTATAATTAATATGAGAGTAAAGGTTTGATGTGCGACAGACATGCTTGAATAGATGTGAGTGTGGAGCTATTTAATTATGTTGATAGATTTTTACATTAAACCATTGATAGCTTGCATCTTCCACCAGGGATGGATCATAAAGTTAGTTGAAGAAGATTTTAGCTATATGACTGAAGTACTTTCCATAAAGTGCAGCATCACTCTAAAAAAGTAAGGAAGAAATTTATTTTTTCATGGCAGGTATATTTTCTTAGGTCTAGTGAGAGCGTTGGAGTCGTGACAATCAATATTGATTTCAAGGTTACTGGATATAATTTGTACTTAGCAGTTGTCATTACTTGATAGGACCCTATTTTGTAAAACAACTTAGAGTTGAGATACTCTAAGTTGTCCATGACACCAAGTACGACTGCGATGGAAATAGGAGATTTTGTATCAAGACTTGGAATATGTTATGATGTATATGGGAGTACTCAATATGTTACTATTGATAAAAATAAAGCAGATGGGGGCATTTACAGAATTTATAGTAGTTGAGAAGGAATTAGTGGCAATGAAGCCAAAAAATATTTCATTTAAGGAAGCAACAATCTTGTGAGTGGAATATGACCAGGAGGGAGCCAGAACAGAACATGGAGAGGAAGGCAATTTGCAAGAAGTTACTCTGCGCTTCCTTGAATTTGGAATGTAAAATCTTTGCTAATTTAATTTATACTGAATAACATAAAGTAGTATTGTCAAATTAATTTCACCGTGTATATTTATGTGGAAACCAAGTACAACTAAAAAATCTAGCCATTGCATTTTCAAGAACAGGTAGCTTTGTAACTCCACTCCTCTCCCTTCTCTCATGTTTACCTACCCAGAAAACCTATAGAAATTACAACTGTTAGAAAAAATTTACAGATATTCTTTTCTTGAGCTATTCTTAAACAACAACATGAAAGCGATTTTAACCCCTCCCCCTAATTTCCTAAACCAAAAGGGGTAACAAATACCGCTATATTTTATATTTACTTTTCATATTTCATTTGAGGAAGCAACAATCTTGTCAGTGGCATATGATGGTGCAGAGTATGTTGAAGCAACATGAACATGGAATAATGGTGAACATATCAGATAAGAAAATTTCATGTTAAAAATCTCATGCTAATTGTAACCTTTTGAAAGTTTATTAAACAATAGGTGTTAATTTTTAATTTTTATTCTTATAAGTAAGTTAGAACGGCATTGATATAATTTCACTATTTAATTAAGGGTTTCTTGCTTTGAATATATATATAGCATATAAGGGATAAAATGAAAAGTCACATGAATAAATAGATTTGATGGCTAGCCAAAAAGAGTTATAGAGACTACCTGATCAAATTCTTCTTTTTGTTTTTTGTTTTAATTGTTTTGATTGCGGTCGATAAATTTAATCTGCAATATACATATATTTTTATTATCTGTCTCCACTCTTTTTTCTTTGAATCGATCCGTGCATCGCGCGGGTACGTATACTNTTTCCATATCCTACTCTTCATGAAAAAAACACCTCCAAAATTTGATTTTTGAATTTAATATTGATTAGTGTTTGGCTAGCTTATTGACATGCCCCAACCTATGGAGGCGTAGCTGGCACCAGGTGTCGCATTGGCTTGAGCAAACCACTCTGTAACTCATGATCGTTCGACGAACACTAAAACATACATAGTCCAACTTAGCTAAACTCTTTTTTTTGTAGCTACCATGGGCCAACATGGACATAACTCGTAATATATAACTATCGTACTCAAAACATGAATACACACGGGCCGTCAAGGCTTCTGACATATTGTACATAATGAACCTGTGTTTACAAAGTCTCTAAGAGTATCTGACATTGAAACATGGCCGGGACAGGTCCTCAGCCTACCCATAAGTCTGTAGCAAAACTCTAACATGACTTGTAGACACGACTTCACTCCAAATAAAGTGGAGTCTTACTGATCATTCGTTAAATGCTAACCTCGTCTACTATGAGGGCTCGCCAAGCTAATTACCTACACCTGCATGCATGAATGCAGCGTCTACAACAAAAAGGACGTCAGTAAGAATAGTGTACCGAGTACATAAGGCAGAGCTGAAACATAACATTAAGCAAACATCAATAAGAGAGATATAAGAATCAGCCTAAACCTCCGAAGTGCCACTGAGGGCCAGGATATGCATACTTATTATACTTACATATTTAATGCCTCTCTTTGGGACTATTATCCATATCCTAACATGATTGCCCAACTGATCAGTGGTAACTGCCCGACTGACCGTAACTCTATGGTAAATACGTGTCTTCCCAACCAGTGGTAAATAACGATACATAATTTCCTGACCGGTGGTAACTGCCTGACCGACCATAGCTCGATGGTAAATACATCACTGCCTAACCGGTCATAGCTCAATGGTAAATGCATGACTACCCGACGATCATAGCTCGATGTAAATACATGAAGAGCCTTTTAGGATCATTAGTACATCTTATCGCATGCCTCAATAAGGACTTAGGAACATACCTAGACATGCTTTGGATTACATTTCACACAAGTGGATAACATAGACATCCTTAACTGCTAAGATAGAACCATTTATGGAATAAAGTTACATTTAAGTCTCATTATATGGATCATGACAAAAGAAGGAAGGATTAGCCTTAATATACCTTTGTTGATAACGACTCAATATACCCTGCCCGTAGTACTTCAACCTATATCAAGGTATTAGAAATATAGTTAATACCATGAAAGAACTCAAATCACATTTTTAAGGTAGTAGCTCTCTTACAGAGAATTGGGCAGTACTTCCCCTATGTTTCATCACTTCTCCAAATACAAAATAGCACCAAACAACAACATCAATGATATCAACAATATCAATAACTAATCCTATCTATTCATCCCTTCGACAGTGTAAGAGCAATTCTAACAATTCAAACAATAGTACAACGAGCGGCAAGTTAGGTTTATGATTAAACCACTATAGTTTTAAACTCCTTCTTCCTTCTAGAATTTATCAACAATATTAAGTGCCATATATTCAATCATCCCTAGAAATTTTCAGCCACAATACAACTTTAAAACGATCACATAACAGTCTCACAAGTTTAGCAACTAAATACTAATTTTTCAGATTACTAAAACACGCTTCAGACTTGTCTTTTCTTTCAAATCAAGAAACACAACCAACAGCACATAATAAAGCCTCTTCTCATATAAACCAGCAATAAATTCAACTTAAAAATAAGTTCACAACCAGCCAACAGTGATGCAACAACAAGCATCATACTACTCTTTTGAAACTCGCAAAGTTTTAGTCTTTACGATCGAGCTACATCTCGTAGAAGCTTAGATAAGAAAAAGAGAAACATTAACTTACCTTAGACTGAGTAGAACCCATGAAACCTAGTACCTCTTCATCCAAAATCAATCCCTCAATTCAGCTACAAGAAGGAGAAAGGAAAACTAGCAAGATGTCCGGATTTTTCGGCACTAGAATCACTTCATATCACCCGAAATTACCTAGATTTTGTATGGGATTTTTGGGGGAGAAGTTGCAGGGATTTTTACCCTAGATTTTGCTCAGGAGATTATGTGTAAAATTTGATAGAATAATTTCATATAAAGGGCCCCTTGGCCTCCCTTAATCTGTCCCTTTTTGGGAATTTATTTGGTCCCTTCATTTAAGCAAGTAGGTGACACACCTCTTGTCCCTTGCCAATTTGTGCAGTCTCGCAAAAATGAGAATATCTTTCTACACCAATGTCATATTGACAAATGCTTTAACGAGTTGGAAACTACACTCATATACCTTCAATTTGGTGGGTGTATCACCTCGTAACTCCAATTATATTGGGAGAAAAGCTCATTGATATTAGTACAAAATTTCAGTAAAATTTATGAACGTAACTTGTGACGACTTTCGTCGACTTTTATTTCATAACTCGCTTGATTTCAAAACTTAACACACGACTATCATACGACTAAAATACCTCATAAAAATACTTTTTTATCATGTTAAGCACCCTACTCTCACCCAATGCACGGGTTATAACATTCCCAACTTGCCGACTTTCAGTAAAACTTATTTTCTTCAATTCGTTTAGCTTTTAAACCTTCCAACCCTCTTGATACTTGCTGATCATGATCTTAAATATTTGTAACCTCCAAGATAACATGATTAACTTACTTTATATACTTTCAAATAGGGTCTCATTTTCAAGTTTACATCAATCGATTTACGACATACTTTTACGTATGAAAACATGAGGTGTAACATCATTCCCCATTTGGAAAATTCATCCTCGAATGTTGCCTGATGCTTTTATCAGTATCATAACCTACAATTCTTGCAAATACTTTAATATTATCCTTGACATCTAGGCAACTGTTCTTTGAATTAATCCAAAGGTAAGAGCATCCCCCCTTTTAGGCCTCTTTCTCACACCACGACTTGTAGTCGTAATTCTTCCAATCTCGTAATTGTTTCTACCTTCTGTCTTGCAGCCTGTACCTTGTACACACGCCTACACGACTCTTATCTCCTTTTTCTCCAGCTTTTAGCCAATCTCTAGGCCTCACTTGCGAACATATACAGAACTAGACAAGTTGTTCCTCTGGGCATCGGTAGGTATAATGAAATTCTTTGTTTGGTACTTCGTCAAACTTATGACTATCACTATATTATATTTCATTGCCTCGGAACTTTTATCCATTGATTGTTGATTCACCTTAATTTTGATCTATAATCCACTAGTGATAACTTGAAACTTCTAATGTAATACATTCTCACTAGGGCTCACGTCTCGTCGGCTAACATCTGAAGTTATTTTGTTGATCCATCTTAGGGACGATACTATACTTTAGTAACCGTATTTCATAGCATCTCAATGTGTTTCATCTTATGAGAGGTATTCTAGTCCAGTACAATTCATAAAATCCTTTCTCGTTGAATCATTACTTCAATCGAAGGATATATCCCTAAACATCATCCTCTTATCGTTTCACACTCACACTCATATTCTACTACCAGGGCAGCATTCCATCTCTTCTAAATGCTCCTAGTCTTAAACTCTTACCCATTCTCGTCACCTTCTCACTCACTTTTTCTTATCCTTACTCCTGTCTACCTAAAATCTTGTTTCTCTACCATACTTTAGCTAGCAACCTACATGTATCTATTCATATTACTCGCAACCTTCATTTAACTTGCTAGCACCATAGATTTTCTTATGTTATTCTGGAACCTCAAGCGAGATATCACGTTGCCTCTAATTCTTCTTTGATCTCATAGTCAGATCTCTCGGTACCTGAAACCATAGGCTGGAAAATGTGCTAGTGACGACACCACTATCATTTCTGGCTACTAAATCACGATGCTTGTAGCCCTCTATCTGAAGTCTGTACTATTCACAACTTTCTATACTAGAGTATCTCGTACCTTCTTCACTTTTACCTTACTTACCTTTAAATCTCACATCGTATCTTCTGTCGCTTTCATAACTTCCCTTCCGCATAAGTGGAATTTATATCCACACCTTAAAGCTCTACTGTAATACTTGCACCTCCGGTGTATATACAATATGGCGGAAGCTTCATACTAACTTTTTATGACTCGGCTTTATGGCACGATCAGAAAACGAAAGAAAAGTAATATTTCCTAAATGCCCTGTAACCTCTCAATTATAAGTGCGGTCGCAACATACCCATAAGTGAGACTCTACTTGACACGACTTTATAGACTCCCTAGGACACAACATGCTCTGATATCACTTTGTCACGCCATAACCTAGGGAGGCGTGGTTAGCACCCGGTGCTATATTGACCTGAGTGAACCACTTTGTAACTCATGATCGTTCGACGAACACTAGAACATACATAGGTTGACTTGGCTGAACTCATTATTTCTTTAACTATCATGGGCCAACATGGCCACAACTCGTAATGTATAACTGTAAGTAAGTAAATGTTGTATCAGTAAACTATCGTACTCAAAACATGAATATACACAGCCTTTCAAGGCCTCTGACATGTTGTACATAATGAACCCGTGTCTACAAAGACTCTAAGAGTATCTGATATCAAAACATAGTCAGGATAGGGCCCCAATCTACCCATAAGTTTGCAGCAAAATTCTGATATAATGACTTGTAGATACGGCTACACTCTGAATGAAGTGGAGTCTTACCGATCCTTCGCTGAATGCTAACCTCGTCTACTATGAGGGCTCGTCAAACTGATTACCTACACCTGCAAGTATGAATACAACGTCCACAACAAAAGATGTCAGTAAGACTAGTGTACTTAATATGTAAGGCAAAATTGAATATAACAATAAGCCAACATCAATGAGAGAGACATAAGAATCAACTTGAACCTCTGAAGTTCCACTTAGGGCTATAATATGCATATTGATTATACTTATATATTTAATGCCTATCTTTGGGACTATTATCTATATCATAACATGACTACCCAACTAATCAGTGGTAACTTTCCAATTGACCGTAGCTCGGTGGTAAATACGTATCTTCCCAACCAGTGGTAAATAATGATACATAATCGCTGACTGTAGCTCGATGACAAATACTTAACTGCCCAATCGATCGTAGCTCGGTGGTAAATGCATGATTTCCCGATCGACCGTAGCTCGGTGTAAATGCATGAAAAGCCTTTTAGGATCATTCGGACATCTTTATCGTATGTCTCAAAAGGGACTGGGGAACATACCTAGACGTGCTTTGGATTACATTTCACAGGAGTAGATAACATAGATATCATTAACTACTAAGATAGAACTATTTATGGAATAACATTACATTTAAATCTCATTACATGGATCATGCCAAAAGAAGGAAGGACTAGCCTTAACATACCTTTGTTGATAATGACTCAATATACACTGCCCATAGTACATCAACCTACATTAAGGTACTAGAACTATGTTTAATACCATGAAAGAACTCAAAACACATTTTTAAGTTAGTAGCTCTCATACAGAGAATTGGGCAACACTTCCCTTATATTTCCTCATTTCTTAAAATACAAAACAACACGAAACAACAACATCAACAATATCAACAACTAATCCTAGCCATCCAGCCCCTCAACAATGTAAGAATAATTCCAATAATTCAAATAATAGTACAACGAGCAACAAGCTAGATTTGTGATTAAACCACTATAGTTTTAAATTTCTTCTTCCTTCCATAATTTATCAACAACATTAACTACTACATATTTAATCATGCCTACTAATTTTCAGCCACAATACAACCTTAAAATGACCCCATAATAGTCCCACAAGTTTAACAAATCAAAACTGATTTTTTAGATTTCTAAACACGTTTTCGGCTTGTCTTTTCTTTCAAATCGAGCAACACAACCAACGGTATATAATTAAGCCTATTCTCATATAAAATATCCATAAATTCAACTTAAAAATAAGTTCAAAACCAGCCAATAGTGAAGCAACAACATACGACATACTACTTTTTCGAAACTCGCAAGTTTTAGTCTTTACGATCGAGCAACAACTCGTAGAAGCTTAGATAAGAGAAAGAGAAGCATAAACTTACCTTGGGCTGGGTAGAACCCACGAAACCTAGTCCCTTTTCATTCAAAACCAGTCCCCCAATGCAGCTACAAGAAGTAGAAAGGGAAACTAGCAAGATGTCCGGAATTTCGGCACTAGAATCACTTCGTATCACCCGAAATCACCTAGGGTTTCTGTGAGACTTTTGGGGGTATAGTGCAGGGGTTTTTTCCCTAGGTTTTGCTCAGTAGATTATGTTTAAAATTTGAGAAAATCAGCTCATATAAATGGCCCCTTTTCTGCCCTCAATCTGCCCCTTTTTGGGGATTTATTTGGTCTTTTCATTTAATCAAGTAGGTGTTGCACCTACTTGTCACCTACTAGTTTGCACAGTCTTGTGAAAACGCGAATATCTCTCTACTCCGATGTCGTATTGATGAACTCTTTAATACGTTGGAAACTAGACTTGTAGACCTTCAATTTGATGGGTGAATCACTCTGTAACTCTAATTATATTGGGTGAAAAGCTCATTGATATTAGACACAAATTTCAGTAAAATTTATGAACGTAACTTATGTCGACTTTTGTTTCATAACTCGCTTAACTTCAAAACTTAACACACGACTATCACACAACTAAAATACTTCATAACATCACCTTCTTATCTTGTTGAGAACCCTAGTCTCACCCCAACGTATGGTCTATAATATTCCCAACTTGCCAACTTTCGATAAAACTTATTTTCTTCGATTCGTTTAGCTTCTAAGCCTTCTAACCCTCTTGGTATTTGCTGATCATGATCTTAAATATTTGTAACCTCTAAGGTAACATGATTAACTTTTTTTATATACATTCAAAGAAGATCTTATTTCCGAGCATGCATTAATTGACTTACGACATGCTTTTACGTACAAAAAACATGGAGTGTAACATTAATGATCATGATTACCTTGATATAGTCTAAAAGGATAGATAATATGTCGATTTAATTGCAGGGCTAATAACCAAGATTGAACAAAAATGTGTGTGCTAAAATGTGACTGAATTTAAGAGGGAAGTGTTGTTTTCTAAACTTTAGAGCAAGTTGCAGCATATGACTTCCATTCACCGAAGTCTATCACTAATTCACTATCAGTCGGGTGCGTACATTACCAAAATTTCAAACCTCAAGGATCTACTTGTAATTTTTCCAAACCTCATGCAGTCCAAATGAATATTGTGAGCACTTTATAAAAACAACACTGGCCTTGGTGGCGCTCAGCCATCGTATCCCTCCGCCGTTCCCCGGAAAAGTCATCGGAGTACATCAGGACGGTAAACACTGGACAGCGAAAGGTAGAAACTAAGGCATTTTCATCTTTCAATGTTACAGAGGCGCTTATTTTGCACGAGGATTTCGAAAACCATCCTCCAATCAAACCCCGGACATAATCATAGCAAATGGAGTGTAAAGCAAGTTACCAAGTCCAGTTTCTCAGCGACATTAGAAGAGATAAGTACTTTCATCTCCGACTCTGATTTCATCGCCGTCTCATTGAAGAATACTGGGGCCTACTCTGCACCCTGGCAGCGTATTCTGCCAATTGACACCGCACACACCGCCTATCTCAAAGCCAAATATGCCGCCGAACGGTTTCAGGTCCTTCAGTTCGCCGTTTGCCCTTTCTCCATTAGAGGTTCCAAGCTCATCGTTCACCCGTGCGTTACTTTAAACTCACTTCTCTCTCTCTCTCTCTCTCTCTCTCTCTTTGGTGTAATTTTTAAATTTCAAATCGCAAGATTGTGCTTTTAATTAATTTTCTGTTCAATCAGTAGTAATGTGTTTTTAATTAATTCTCGCCTACATGTGTGATTATCTACTGAAGTAGTTACAGTTAAATGTTGGGGCACATTGGAAGAAGCATGCTTTTTCGCATGTGCCAGCTGGTCGTGATAGAAAAAGAAGATGAGGAAAGGGTATTGTGTAGATGCAATAGAATATGCAGTTTTCTTTATTAGATTTGCATCATTATTTTGAACTTTCAAACCCCAGAGTAATCTCACATTTGCTATTGATTCCGGGGACTCAAAAGGAGAAAGAAATGTGGCTGAAGGTATCTTACCGGAAGAAATAGGATAAAGAGTACTTTTTGGTTTAGAACTACAGATGGTATAGTGCTGAGATTTCGAAATATTGCTTCCTTTGTAGCCTAATAAACACCATTGGTACTTCTCATTGCTTGAGAACATAATTTGGAGTGTTAATAGTCTTTGTCTGCTCTTTACAGTTTGGATTTCTTTTTCTCAAACCCTTCAAAATCTTTTTGGCAATTTTGATGGTGGCACAGTGATATATCTACATAGGCATCAGATGTCCGTGATGGTGGCATCAATAGTTGTTTTATGGTGGCTCATAGAAACAACTTCACCCATTTTATAGATGTTTTTCTTCTTCTTTCCTTTCATTTTTAACTCTGGTTGACTATTATGCTTAACTTTGTTTCAACAACAAAAAAATAATTATGAAGAAAATGTTGTGTTCGCTCTTTCTCGTGTTAGTTAGGTGCTTGTGTAATTGAACAATTTTAGATGAAAAGTTAGTGGCTACACTTCTAATTTCTAACTTGAAGAATGATGATTTTGTCTGGAAAAAAAAACATGAAACTTGAATAACCAATGTTTTGTGCTTTTGGTGCAGATACAACTTTCATTTGTTCCCTCGTGATGAGTTAAAAATAGGGATGCCTTCTTATAGTTTCTCTTGTCAATCATCATATTTGACCTCTATGGCTCGACAAGGTTTTGATTTCAATGCCTGCATATATGATGGTAAGCTGAGCTAGACTGGTTTGAAATGTAATGCATCACTGACATGTTTTCGTTAAGTATTCATTTTGACTTTGAATCTTAACTGCTTTCATTGTTCTTTTTTTATTATAATAGATGTTACTGTTTTCTCCTGCATACCGTTTGCTGCCCCAGAGTAGCTTTTGACTGAAAGCTTGAATTAACCTTCCTGTCCCCCCACCTTTCTTGACCTGACAGGCATATCATATTTATCCAGATCGCAAGAATCAGCTGCAATAGATAGAATTGGAAATGCATCACATATTACCCGTAAAGTGCAATCTCCATCAGGGCATACAGTTGCTGATTCCGTATTTGCAGAAAGGATCAAATCTCGAGTTAAGCATTGGATAAGTTCTTGCAGAGACACCAACAAGAAGCCTGAAGGTGCGCAAAATGGTATAGATTATGTTTGTCAATCCAACTCTTCTCTGCTCTCTCATTTATACTCGTGACATCTTCCAGATGCTTTAATCAGTGNAAAAAAAAAAAAAAAAAAAAAAAAAAACTAGAGATGCCAAGATTGACAACAATTGAAAGTTTAGACATAATCGAATTTGGATTATTGTAACCTAGGTAGGTTACAATAATCCAAATTCGATTATGTCTGAACACTGATGTTTTAAGATTTCAATTGTTGTCAATCATGAAGGTCCTGCATATTCCATTATATTGAATGAAAAATCACTTGATAGTTTAAACTGATATTTGTTGAACTTTTATATTGGGTCAGACACTGAAGGATTTTGTTGATGTCATACCTTTACTAACCCCAGCAAAGGGAGGGATGACAATGTCTATTCGAGTTGTTTTGACAAGTTCAGAAGAAGACAAAATTCTTTTACAGGTAATTAACTAGCTTACGGTCTTTGTTTGTAATGCTTGTTATTGTTAATGACTCATTTCCTCCTTTGGATATTGCTTTATACTCGCAGAAGGAACTTCAAAATGAGGAGAAGGAGCATAACAAGCGCATTCGTGGCTTTCGAGAGGTGATCGATTTGATTTCCGCTTCTCAGAAACCCGTTGTTGTCCACAACTCTCTTAATGGTCAATCTCTAAGTGGAAAATTTTGCTCATGTTAGAATTTGCGGCTCCCATACCTTTGTGATATTTATACATGTTGCATTTTATTCGGCAGATTTTACCTTTGTCCATTCCAAGTTCTTAGCTCCATTGCCACCAACGCTGGATGAATTCAAAAGTTCATTATGTGAGGTCTTCCCAAACGTACTTGATGTCACCCATCTTATGAAGGAAATCAGCCCTCTGAAAAAAGTGAACAATTTGCCTGCAAGTATCTCATATTTGAAACAAAGATTTTTTGCCCCTGTTGATATGGAGATATCTAACCAAGGTAATTTAGAACAATCATATTTCCACCTTTCTTTATAACAGGGAGATCGGTTTTATGGCCCGTTACAAGTGTTATTTTAGTTATATAGCCCTTTTCACGGGAGATTGATAGAAATTAACACAGGAGATTTGTAAATAAAATATATGTAGGATCATTTTTCTTCTATTCAAATTGTAACTGTTTATAGGAGATCATTTCCTCCGTTATAACGTGGTTATACTTATAAACACTTGCAGCATGTAGCCAGCGGGAAATGACAATATTCATGTGAAGGAAGTTTTCCTTCTTGCTAATTTATTACAACATTTTTATGTTAAAAACCTATCTATTCTAGATTCTCTCTCATCTCCCTCCACCCCTTCCCCAAAATTCTCTTTTAGTTATGTTGCTAATTGGACTCGACTATTTCTGGCTTTGCATGTAAAATTGCCATCGGTTTCTTTTTCAACTGTTTAGATCAATTCTAATCAGTGTTAAATTACTTACAGCAGCTGAGGCCACGGAAGTGAAGACTCTGGGACATGATGTTTTGAAGATAAGCGAATTGTTTGCGAAGCTGTACTCCATACTGAAAATTGCTCCAAAAGCTCCTGAAGCTGCTGAGGGCCATTTGCCTGATGCAATTGAATGCTACATAAACTTGTTTAACCCTTGCTTTGCCAGTTCTCATGGTCTTGCTGATGAAGGTGTTAGTGTGTGGACTGACAATACTAGAAAAATTAGTATTAAGAATCTGGTTTTCCTATGGGGATTCAGGGGTGGGACATCTGCAGGACAGCTGAAAAGCCTCCTATATGGTTCACATGAAGTTTTCCATAATGAATTTGATGTTAGGCTAGTGGATAAAAGCTGTGCTGTAGTTGTTTTTGGGAACCCTGGCTTTTCGGAAGTCCTGTTGCAGCTAATGGATTCTGGAGGTATCTGTACTAGTACCCTGAAGGAGATGCTGGCAGACGGCCTGACAGCCGCAGGTTATGAGGCATACCAAAAAGTCTGTGAGTTAGGTCTATGGGAAGCAGATTTGGCCAGTTCATTCGAAAGGGCTTTGGAAGAAAATGATAGCTTCTCAGAAGCTCACTCTCAGGAGCTTCCGGGGATATGTTGGAATAATGATGAAATGATTAACCTGGATGACCTTTAAGACGCTCCATATAGATCTGATTCATATCTAACATTACAAGAGCCAAGAAAGGCTGCTTTCTGGTCAGTGGCGAGTCGATATACTATGATCCTATAGATTTTGTTGGTGGCCCGTTTATTGCCATTGGGGATGTATGCAGGAATCAAATTCATAATTGATGCATCAAATGGGGAGAGTAGCTGCTGACATGGAACATTCAGCCATTGTATTTAAGTAAACAGGTATCCTAAGATTGATGGCATTTACTTCTTTCAAGCTGACAAAGCAGGGTGGTCATGTATTTTTTGGACGATGAGATGTGAGGATAGCTGAATGTTGGAGGATAATTCAGTAGAGTGGCATTATTTGGTGTAGCAAAGAATCTGTTTATTGGGTCGTCGTTTTCCTTTCCCACTTGCCAAGTTGTTCTTGCCAAGTTTCTTATCTGGTGGTGTATGTTTGAAGTTGTAGAGTTTGCAAACATTGAGTTTTTGCATGTGAAGCGAAAGTGTAATGAGATTACTTACATAATGTCTTTTTTTCAGTTGATGGCTAAGCAATTCATTCTGTTCAACATTTGTTAAATATAAAACTATGCTGATTATGATACTACTTTTTATCCTTTGCCTCTCTGTGCTTTAATGTTCCATTATACTTCCAGGGATGCCTATGCTACTTTTTACGCATGAAAAGACAGATGGGATTTTTAGTTTCAGTCCTCAAATATCAAACTAATAATCAAAAGATGTTCTCCAAATATGGAATGCAAAAAATTGAAAGTCTCTTTGGCACCCATTAAATGGTTCTTAGCACACATTGATCCTTCAGCATTTATCACTACAAATAAGTACCCAAGCAGTTTCCAAACTTCAAAGTCCTTTTTTCTCTTCTTTTCTTAAATCCTTTCCTATAAGCAAATAAGAAGATAATTGACATAAAATTTCACCACCCAAAAGCAAAAACAGAAGACAGATAAGACGAACATATTGATAAAGGTGTCCTCACATTGCATACTCAGAAACATATAATGGTTAGCGTAACATTTAGGAGATATCTTTTACTTTTAGGGGGATGATTTTGATTATTTATTAGGTAATCTTCTTCAACGTAGAGACCTGATAATTGCAGATATGGAAGACGGATTATGTTCCAATTTTAAGACTTAATGGCACGTTTTACAATATTTTATTGCAAGTTGAAATCCAGGATAAGAAATGGCAACAACTAGCTTTGCGGCACTTGCTCTTCTTAGTTACCTAAAGCTAAACTGGTAAACATTTGCACGCTGACACGACAAGCAAACTCCACACTTCTGCAGCAGAAAATTGAACAAAATGGCTTTGAAAATTACAATAAGCTCTAATCCCAATACCAACGGCGTACTTGCACCTCCTCCGAACAAGCTACATGCTCATCTTTTACCCTCAAATCAAAAGATTTTTGCCCGCAGACTCCTTGGGAGTACACCTCTATCATTGAAACGAAGTAAAAGGAATTGGCATGCGCCGCTTCGAGTTTCGAGTTCGAGTCAGGCTTCTGCGTCAAACTCCTTTGATGTTGTCATAATTGGTGCCGGAATCATTGGGTTGACCATCGCCCGCCACTTGCTCCTTTCCTCTGATCTTTCCGTCGCCCTAGTTGATGCTGCTTTTCCTTGCTCGGGCGCAACTGGAGCAGGTAAAAATTTATCGATACTTTGACGACCAGACCCCAAATTATTGGATATTGGCATGAAATGAGCCCAAATAGAGCCAAATGGATAGTGAGGATTATTATATGCCGACCCAACTAGCTTGGAATGGAGTAGTAGTAGTTATTGTTGTTGTATAGTTGACCCCAACTAGTTTGGAATCAAGATTTAGTTGTTGTTATGGTTGTATTATATTCTTATCAGCGGCGGACTCAAAATTTGAACTTTATGAGTTCGAGTTCAAATACTATCGTAGTTCATTTAATTTACTGGGTTCCAAATCTGTCATTTGTACTAACTTAGTGGATTTTTAACACATACATGATCTGAGCTAAAGTTACTGGGTTTGGATGAACCCATATCTATTCACCCCCGATTCTTATGCACGCCGTCTTGGCTAAATGCTGTATATATCTTTTAATTGCATATGCCTCTAATCATGAAACTGATATGATCTAATATGCACAATGTACAGTTTTCCACAAAGGGTAACAGTCTCAGAGTGGGTGAATCAAGTTTAAAGTCTTTGACTCTTTTAATCCACATGCTTAATACAACGAGAATTAACTTAGTATGCTGTCAATCTCGAGTTTGTTCAAATTCACGAGCTATGCCAGTGTATTGATTGTAGTTAGATTACCCACAAATATCAACTGAATAAGTATGGCAATGGTAAGTCTTTCCACCTCCTAAATTAGAAGAAGTTAATTTGTTTTGTATAATAACTATTTGAAGTGTTAACTTTTAGCGTTTCAAATTTCTTTATAAACTTTTCTAAGGTAGTTGAACAAGTTATAAGCTTTTATTCTCTCACCCTAGAAATTTGGAGAACATCATCTGCTGGCATGTCATTTTCAGGAGGAACTTATCGAATGAAATTCTATTCCTACTGTTTCTGGTGTCTTGTCTGATTGATTATGGATTTTTCTTTACATTATCGTTGGCATTTGAGCTGGTTCTAGGTCAAGGATACATATGGAAGGCACACAAATCACCAGGTACTGATAAATGGGAATTAATGATGAGAAGCCATCAATTATGGGAGAGCCTAGCCAAGAGCATTCAACTTCAAGGCATGGATCCTTTAGAGGTACTTGGCTGGAAGAAGACAGGTGACTTTATATCCTTCCATGTATCTGCCTTCAGTTATTCTACTTGCCAATGTTTAGTCAACAGTGTTGTCAAAGGGGAAAAGCTCTAAAAAGTGCTTATGTTTATTGGGGCTTTAAGCGCAAAACGCAACTAAAGTGTGGGCTTTAATAAAAAAGGCACATTGAACTAAAAAAATAAAAAGATATATTTAATTCGGGAAAAAAGTAACAAATTCGTTCATAATATTTTCCTTAACAGCTAATATACCTATTATATTTGTTGTTTAGTACCGATTGATGAAAGACGGAACTCATAGGCAACGAGGTGTATGCCTTAGTGCCTTGCCTTATAATGAAGTGCGACTTAAGCAAGGTGAAACGGCCTCCTTGAGCTTTTCTCAGCTTCAAGGCTTAACCGCGCCTTAAATAAGCCTTTGACAATACTCTGTGTACTATTTAAGACTTTTGCAATGAATCTGGAAGTTTATCATGTTATATGTCTTGTTATTCTTACCAATGTGTTTCTGAGCTCTACTTAAGCAGCCCAAGGGGTTAGAATATGATGGAAGAATCGTGAGATATCACATCATTTTCCTGTCTTTTAGAAGACGTTTTCAGTACTGAGGAGGTATGTTCCTCCTTAATGGTAAACATGCTCAATTGTAATCTTTTTCCTTTTTCTAGAAAGCTCATTTACAAATGACAAAAGGTGGTATATTCTAGGACATCAGTCTGGAAGATTTTTCAGGTCTGAGACAATTCTGGTAAATGCAAAAGTTAAAGTCACTTCATATTGTCTAATCGTTCTCTGTTTAATAGACTTTCTGCAATGGAGAGCCCAACATTCTTCCAGTCTGGTCAAAATTGCTAGATTGGCCCTCATTCTTTGCAACTCCGCACCTCGTGAGCTAACTTTTGAGGTTGAGTTAGCCCAAGGTCCATTTTCTTAACATGATATCACAGTCACACCCATTTTGTTTCTTGGTTTACCCAATATTAGACCCCCATATCATGTCATTCGTGCTCCGATTGGCAGGCTTGGTGTGCAAGGGGGAGGGTGTTAGATTGTCCCATATTGGTTGAGGGAACAGGTTGTTGTCTCCTTGTATGGTCTTGGGCAATCCTCATGACTCGAGTTGAGTTAGGCCTAAGGACCATTTTCTTAACAAAAATAATGTGGATTTTCCTTATACTGTTCATTTGAAGGCATGCTGATCCCTACTTGTTTGGGACTGAATCATAGTTATTGTTGTTCATTTGAAGGCATCTTTCAGCTTCTTTTTTTTCCTCCACTATACATCCCTTTTTCGTAAACACAATTTAGAAAGCAATTCTAGTTGATATCTCATGTAAAGGGGTGGTATGGAGTTTGCTCTTCTCCTGCCCTTCCCTTGTACCTATCTCACGTGCACAGGCTAAAGAAAACCTTTCTTCTGTAATAACCATTACTATCTCAGCGCTATCATATTAAAGATTGTAGGGGAAACCACTGAGTGAAGTTCTAATTATCTGGCAGGAAGCCTTTTAGTTAGTAAAACAGCAGATGAGTCAGCAATGTTAAGAAGGAGGGTAGAGGAGCTATCACAGGAGGGGTTGAGAGCAGAGTTCTTGTCCACCAATGACTTGCTATCAGAAGAACCAGAACTTGTGCTTGAGAAGGAAGGTGGAGCAGCTTTTTTCCCTGATGACTGCCAATTGGATGCTCACCGTACTGTTGCATTTATTGAGAAGGTCTGTTCCCTTGCCTTCTTTCTCTCATTCTTCCTTCTCTTCCACTTTGTTTCCTTCTTTAGGAATAATCTTTAGTGTTCTTCTCTCTGGGCTATCTTACAATTCTTATATATGATAATTATTCAAGTTGTTGATCATTGTCCAGGGTAACAGGCGTTTTACTGTTGAGGGGAGATATGCTGAATTTTATCATGACCCAGCTATTGGATTAGTTAGGTTTGACAGTTTCCATCTTTATTGATGTTTGAACTATTACTTGTCCATGTAATCACTATATTAATAACTTTTAAATTCAGGCCTGGAAATAGCTGCGAGGTTGGAGCTGTTCAAACTTCCAAGACTACATTGCATAGTAAGAAGGCTGTTGTAATTGCAGCAGGTTGTTGGACTGGGTCTTTGATGCATGACCTGATTAAGCAACCAGATATCGAGCTCGATCTTCCAATAAAGCCTCGAAAGGTTTTGGATAAGTGTAACATGCCCATTATGTCCCATTTGTTTTTTTAGTCTTATTTTTTTTTGGTTGCTAACGCACCCATAGTGGGTGTGTTTGTTATCTTATTGAAGAAAGAATAAAGGAGTAAAAAAAAAGGGCAGCCCGGTGCACTAAGCTCCCGCTATAGGCGGGGTCTGGGAAGGGCCGGACCACAAAGGATTAAAAGAAAAAGAGATTTAAATATGTGGTTTAAGAGAAACCATTATTTGTTGATCTTTTGNGAAACTTCATTTTCTTCTCCCGGGTGGGGTGGGGTGGGGTGGGGGGGTCTCAATTGGGAGAGTCATATCTGATTCATGGTTCTTCACATGCATATGCTGGTTTGTAAGCCACCATTTCTTACCCTTCCCCTCTCTGTTAGAGTCGATCCTGCATAGTAAGCAACATAAATTCATACAATACTTTAAAGTAAACATGTGATGTTCTGTGGATATGTAACTGGATGCTCACCTCATAATAGTTCGAACAATACTTGCTGGTTCCATGCCTCCACCCTTGGACCGCTTTGTTGTTAATTTGTACTTCCGTTACTTCTATGGGGGATTGCTACATAATCCAAGTTACAAGCTAATTCGGAAAAAAGAGAGGATAAAACGAGAAAGAAGAGAAATGAAATCAAAAGTTGCTCCATGACTTCTTATATCAGCATATTGTATCTGTATTGATCCACTTCCTTTATCCCTTTAGCTGGTTATAACTTTAAATAAGGTATCATTTTACAAGCTCAAGCTACAAACTCTCAGAAGTTAGAAGTATTCGAAGCTCGTAATGGTACGTCCGTGCGTCATTCTAAATTGGCCTTAAACGAATCCAAGATTGTCAATGAGTGTCTGTACAGTACTGTCTATAGTTCCTAAACCTATCCCGCTCAAATAGGGAAATCACTAAGTGAATATCAATATAGAAAAACGTGAAGACAATGGACAGAGAGAGAAGTATGTAATGTTTGATGACAATTCGATTACACATTCTATATATGGATCTATCTCCTCTCTTTTTTTTGGATCAGTAGGATCTTCCTCCTAGTCATAAGTTTTTCTCATGAGACATTGTTCCTACTTGTCAATAGATTCAACCTTTAAATATTTTATATTCATATATTTGTGAAGCTAAATTTTGCCTCTGTAAGCAGGGTCACCTGCTCGTGATAGAGAATTTCAAGTCGTTCAAGCTGAATCACGGAATTATGGAGGCAGGGTATGTCAACCATCAGTCAGCAACCCTCAAAGCTACTGCATCTGATTCAGGGCCTGTCTATAATGCACAAGATTTGTCTGTTTCAATGACAGCAACCATGGATGCATCAGGCAGTCTTGTCCTTGGTAAACTATATTCGATTGTTGAATTGGTTGTCCCTCCTTTCTTTCACCCACAACCAATATGTCTAACCCAATTAAGCTAGATATGGATAGCTCCAAGCTCCATTGCACCCCCTTCTTCCCTTCATAATGCAAAGGATTAATTGCTTCTTGTTGCTAAGTTTTCTCTTTCTCTAAGTTCATTATTTATTCACTGCAATTGAAGTTTCCTTTTTAAAATTAGTAATTAAGCTTATTTCCCTAACGATAAAAGACTGTTGATAGCCAGATCGATGCACTATCTTTTAGGAAGCTTGTTAGCATGCAGGAAAGAATGTCTACCTACTGGGGATGCTCCTTATGTAGAAGTCTATTGTTTAAATTGCCTCATCTAAAGTTTTAAAATATAAACTATTAAATAGGGGACACTATCTTTTTATTGGGCCAAGCATGTGGAAATATGCTATTACAGAGTGATAGTGAGAATTGAACTTGAGATCATTTAAATTGTATAAACTGTATTATCTAAAAGCTTAAGTTGCTAAAGAGGTGACACTTCTATTTATTTATTATAGGTCTACCACATGTTATGTAACATAGAGCTTTGCCTAATTTCTGATGTACTTATTATTAGAAAATATGGACAATCCAGCTAGGATATATCATTCGTTTTAAGACTTTCTGACTTTGCTATTCATGATATCTAGAGCGCTTTGGACAACTTCTGGAAAAAAGTTGTTCCAAAACATATTTGGTGAAAAAGTTAGTGCAAAAGAAAAATGTGTTTGAATAGTCTATATTTGTGGGTCTTTTGTGAGTGGAAGAAAGAGCTTTTAAATTGAAAACACCTTCAAAGCTTCTCCCAATTGAAAAAGCTTTTCGTAATAACTTTTCGCAAAAACTCCTTTAAAAAGTTAACAAATATATTTTTCAAAAAAGTTTCAGAAATTTCAGAAAACGATCTCATCTTATGCTGTGTAACTATGATAGCTGGAGGCACTTGTCCCATTGTTATGGTATCTGGTAGTCCAATTATATTGAATAAAATCGTAATGGAAGAAAAAGGGTATTTCCATTTTGTGCTATCTTTTTATTATTTTTCTGTCCATCTTTTTTGTCTTATAATCCGAACCCTTTAAGGTAAGTGTGGTTCTATAAATGTGCACTCATAGCTATTCACCAAGATCTTTTCTTACAGGGAGTAGCCGACAGCTTGTTGGGTTTAACACAGAGGTTGACGAATCTGTCATCAACCACATATGGCAGCGGGTTGGGGAGTTCTTACCTGCTTTGAGACAAGAGTCTCTTGAGGATTTGCGTCAAAGCAGAGAAATTAGAGTAGGATTGAGACCTTACAGTAAGTGAAAACCAGAAACTTTTGACTTCTTACTGTTCATGACTGAACTACTAAAATAATGCCAAAGTTGCAAGCATGCTCATGGGATTGGCTTTATTTTGATTTAGTTCCGGATGGAAAGCCTTTCATTGGGCTTGTTCCTGGATTTTCGAATGTGTTTCTTGCTGCCGGGCATGAAGGAGAAGGACTGTCGCTGGTATTTTGCTCTAATCTCTTTCTGCAGATGATACTCATTTTCATTTTAATGAGTCTGCTTTTCTTACTGTCTTTTCGAGTTCTTATATGCTTCTACGTTGAATTGTAATAATCATAGTCGGTGCTTTTTCTCACCAGGCTCTAGGAACGGCTGAAATGATTGCTGATATGGTGTTGACCAATCCTTGTAAAGTTGATCCAGCACCTTTTGCGCTGCTAGGCCGGTGCTTTCACTGAGCAGTGAGCCCAATGCAAATATTGAGCACTTATGAAGCCTAAATTTAAAAGCCTTACAGTTTCAAGGTCACATCACATCCTTATTATACTGTTACATGATGTTGCACTTTGGTTATATCTTTTTATCTGTCATTTCTGCGCAATAACTGAATAGTGAGAAATTACTACAGTTTTTACTGGGATGTGGATTTCTCAAAAGAGAATGTAGCAAGGATAAGTTGCTGAGTTGTCTTTGGGATGCAGTTCTTAGGTTTTGAATGAACTGATGATGTAGCTTCTATTGATAGAGACATGCTGGAACCACTCCAGCAGAAGACTCATCTTCCCAGTTCTCCAATCCTGTGGTTCTTATGTAAAATAAAAAAGCAAAATGCTTTTGATGTGATTGATCTCCTTATGGATTTAGTGCTTGCAATGCTTCATCTCGAGTTCTATCTGTTATAGCTCATGCATTGTGCATTTAGGGTCATTTGTTCCAGCTAGGAGTTTTTCTTTGGGGGGTTTGTGGGGGTGGGGGGCTCAATTTGGGCAGTTTTGTTGGCCCAGATTAACCCAAGCTATTAGATGGGTTAATATGGGCACGAGGCCCGCTCAACCACCCATCAATGAATACGTTTTTAGCCCAACCGCATAGTCCGGGGTGGAGCAGGTTACAATTTTTTGGGATAATTTTGTCCCTTGTTTTAGCTAAAGTTCCTGTAACTATATTCTGTATAAAGGAAATAGTAAAGTGTTCTTCACGTGGTTGTGCTTCTTTTAGATAAAACGCTCTGAATGTCGTAATTTGAGTTATGATATGTTTTAGCTCTTCCAGTGATTATTTGGAGTTGAATTTTCTTTTTATCTTTAATTTGTCCAAACCTGTGTGAGCTTTAAGCATTAGATGACATGGTTAAGACTCTTCCATCTTTCCTTTTCTTTTTAAGCAAGTATTTTACACTCACTGATACAAGAGACTTGATGAGACACACTTCGACAGATATTTTATAATAATGATTACATGGATATGCTATTAGGTATCCCTATTGCTGTGATACCCTGACCTGATTTAATATTGGAGACTGTAGGGTCCAGAAGCTTGTACGGGATAGTGGACGGCCCCCGTCTGTTCTTAAGTTTGGAATCTGCATTTCTCTCCACTATCCTTTTATGCACTTCGTTAAGTTCCTCGGCAAATTGCTCAAACCTTTGCTTTACCCATACGTCATCTATCCAGTTTGGAGATTGTCGTTGACCCAAGTATACTTCATCAGATGTATGCGCTGACAGTATCTCTAATAACGCCAAATATAGGGTAATCTCAGACCTGTTGGGTAACATTTTGAGAAAGAACTTGTCTGGGTCATGGAGAAACTCTGCATACTCTCTTGTCCCTTCCATCGCGATGAAATTCCGACATTTGGTTGGGCGATTTAGTGGATGACCCGCATATTCATATTGTCCAAAGTTAACTGAAGCATGAAGACATGAGGAAATCCATATAAGGGTTGTGAGAGCCTCTACTAGGTCAGAGACGGTAGTCATTGAGCTCCACCATGTTTCGTTACACTTGTCTCCATGACCAATTTTCCTTATCTCTGACCACCATTCTTGGATCTCATGGTCAGATCTCAGGGAATTATCATCCTTGTAGAAATATCGACAAAAGTCTGTTACCCATCTCTTGGTTGCTACCCAAATTTCTAGTCCATCTGCACCATATGGATAATCTTCAAAGAGAAGCTGAATGCCAGCCAGGCATTCTGAGTTCTGGAAAGCCAAACCTCTGCAAGTTTTGATTAATGTGTTATTTTGTGGTGTTAGTAGTTTTAGCTATAATGTACATCAGCAGATTTAGTGGTGATGGAGGAAAATGTTTTCAAATATTTACTTTATCCAAAAAAAAAGGAGGAAAATGTCTTTCATTTTTTACTTCAGGAAATCATTCTGGGATCATTTTCCATGTTTGTTCTAATATAAAATTAGGTGAAATATGGTAGTAATATACAAGGAGGAAGATAGCGTATAAAGATGGTGTTTTAGCGATAATATTTTAGTATGAAAATGTAGTAATAATGTCTAATTGTTCATCTCAAGATATGGAGCAAGAATTGGGATATCTCTAAAAGTTGATGACTTCAATAAGAGTTTGGATATCATTGACGACAATGGTTTTCACCAATAAGTGAAGAAAGTAGTTTTCTTTCTTTTGATGGAAAATATTTTTCTTGGAGAAAGCATTTTCAACAATTCAAGATAACCGAACATTGAAAATAGTTTCAAGAAGAAAACATTTTCCGCATACCAAACACTCATTAGGTCACCGAGTTCATATATCCCGCTAGCATACCTTTTCACCAAATCACCAGGGAGGCTTTGTTCATCAAATCTCCATTCCTTATAGAGTGAAGAAGATAGCTCCATAGATGCTTCTCCAGAATAAAGGGTCTTCTCGAAGATTCCTCCAGCTTTTAAGACCGTAATCCGAGCCAATGCATTAGTATGCATAGTGTCCTTGAAATGAGGATCCAATAACCGGTGAATCGGGTGCATAACACTCAACTGCCTTCTGGTGGCAATAATGAATGGCTCTACAACTGCATGAGTTTTTAGCCTACAATTTCATAATGCCCATGAGTAATGGGGAAATTCAATGACATTGCAACTGCTACATGATTTTAGTAATTTTACCAATGGCTGATTAGCTGATGATAACCAGAGTCGTTTACTGCCACATGAACTTTAGCAAGCTGCCATAAGGCTGCCTCTGATCCATTGGTCCCTGGACGAAATACCCTGTGGATCTCAGTGCCAGGTGAAAGCCCTGGTAAACTTAGTTCTATTGCCAGTGGCTTTAGCGTGGCATCGTCCTTTAAGAATAGCAGAGTTCTGGATGCATATGCACATACACCATTTTTGTTTATTTGTCCCAAAAATGGCATGAGGTAGTCATGGTGGTCCAAGATGAAAATCCTCCATTGGTTCATTGCCTGCAGCGTTGAACTGAACTTATTAGGAATTTTGAATGTTTGTTCAAGCTCTTTCCAACTAAGCGTTCATGATTATTGCCTTTTCCTCCATCGCGGTTTTTGGAGTATGTTTCATGGGTATACTCTATGCTAAAGTATAAATGAGGATGTAATTGGTCTAAAGTACGTACCTCTTGAAGAGTGAGCCCATCAAGGTTATGTTCTATGTGCGATCTTCTTATTGAACTCCATATTCCATTCTTGCTTCTTGGTGGAAAAGCCTGTGATGTCAAAACCATAGCATCAAACAAGATATGAAACTTATAACACGCTGTTACTGTACAAGCTTGCATGTAAGATGTGTTAGAACGTCAAGTGCTGGTGTGTGAGAATGTTGAGTTAGTAGTGTTGGCTGTTAGTGCTAAGTTGGTCTCTCCTAGGTCAAGTTATTTGTTTATTCTCTTACTTTCTCTTATTTTTCTTAGGAAAATGGGTCTTTGCCCCTGTACTACTCCGATATTGAGCAAATTTGCCCTCCGTTTAACTTTTGGTCTAATATTATCCCCACGAATAGGAGAAAGTTTTGTTTTTGCCCTTGACTCCTAAAGGAGCTTCAACCTATGGGTAATTTTAAACCATAGTCAAAATTTGGACCTTTTTCCAAAGAATTTGGACTCGTGGATTTCCCCTATTTTATGTTGGAGCTCCTTTCATGACAGGCAAATACGAGACAATTTGCTAAGGGTAAGGACATGGATGGTCCAAAAATATAGGAGTACAAAATTGAGAAAATTTGGCAAATTTTGATCTTTTCCCTTTTTCTTATATGGTATCAAAGACTGCGATATTGGTAAGACTTTAAGTAACTTCTTACTGCGACTTACCAAATTTTCTTTCTTTTGTGCAAGTTTGCTAGTGACACCATACTTTTTTCTGGTGATCGATGGTACTGTGCCTTTTTCCTATTGACCATATCGGCAAACACTATGCCTCTTCCTACTGATTGCTCAGTTGGCAGTATCTCTTTCCGACTTCTTCTGTTCACTATTCTAGTCATCGATCCAGCAGCAATTTTTTTAGTAAAATTCTAGCAATCATAAATTTTTTGGCAAAATCACATAAAAGAAGTTGTCTTGAAAGACCTAGAATCTCTTGGAATTCACGTTGACCTAACCAAAAATAGGGCACAATCGAAGAAAAAGATCTATGTATCCAATACTTATTAGTTGGGACTATGTTTTAGCTGCATTATTACATTTACTTTAGGTCTTATATTTTTTAGGACTCTTTTAGTTTTATATGAGATTTATATGCCAGTAGAAAATATAGAGACTATTATCGTTGTTATAATTATTATATGGGTTTAAGATAGCTTAAATGGAGCGGCATGATGAGTGAGGATTCATATAACTGACCCGAACTTACTTGGGATTGAGGCGTTGTTGTTGTTTGATAAGGAATAGACCATGGACCTAAATCAACTCATGAGCTCATGAGGTGAGCACTGTCCGAGATCATATAAGGAGACACAACTGTTTCCTCCACTAATGTGGAACGCTTAACACTCGACATTGGTGTGTGGATAATATAACATGAGGACGCAACACTAGGTTAACCAAGAATAGGAATGAACCTTGCTCTTATACCATGATAAAAGATACATCATGGCTCTAACTCAACTCCAAAAGCTGGATCATGAGGTGGGAACCCAAGACCCATATATAAGGAGACAACATTTCTTTCCTCCACCAATATTGGGCACTTAACATATTGGAATTCTCTCGCGAGATTCCAGTGACCAAGTACTTTTGAACAAGTTTCTGGTGGTCAAAACTTTTCCTTCTATTGATCAGAAGTATCTGCTGATTTCCAGCAAGTTTCCTGTCAACTATTTAATTTTTTTTTTTTTTTTGCATCCAAAACAAACAAATTCAAATTGGCTTCCATACCCAAAAATTTGAGGAAGCGTGTTAAAATGTCAGAGTTAGTGTTTTATGTGTTGAATTAGTCCTTCATTGTTTAATATAAGACGTGGACCTATAAATAGGTATGTGTTGTCAATAGCAAAGACAGGAATTTTCTCAAGGGTGTTCAAACTTGAAAGAAAGTAAAATTCCAAGGGTGCTCAATATATGTTATATACCTCTAAAACATAATATTTTTATCTATATATGCAATGTAATTTTCCGATGTAGGGTGGTACCTTACCGGGGTATAGCTTCGCCCCTGGTTGTATTCCATTATAACTATCCATTTAATTCGCTTTCCTTCTTTTATTATGAAGCTTCTGCTTATGCTTGTCATGATTCTCTTTAGGAAGCAAAAGCATGTTAAGCTTACCTGCAAACACTGAATTAGAGTTGCATTAATTCCTGCAAGCATTTGGCGTCCAAACTCCTTATCATCCTTCCATGCAAGTTCGTTCCCTGTGCATGAATAATCCAGACATGAAACAAAACTTGTCTTGGCAAAGAAAGATACAATAACCTTTTATTCAAAAAACCAGCATCACCTGCAAATAACTGAGGCATTGGAAACTTCGCTGTGTAATCTTTGATTCCACGTTCAGTCTCCTTGAAAATCTCTTTTGCTAGATGAGTTTCCAGTTTCCTTATCATCCATTCTTGCACCACTTGGTTTTTCTTTCCCGAAAATAGCTCTTTGATCTCATTGAATGACTTGAATTGGTTGGTTTCTTCTCTTAACACTGATTCCCCCTGAGAAACGACATAGTGCAAGGTGGCCTGGATAACTTTCTTCGCAAACTCTGATAGCTTCTCGGGGCTAAATCTTTCATCTGGAGGGATACAATTGTCTATCTTGAACATCCCCTTCTCATTTTCTGTTAGAAGAGTAACAGTTTAGGAAGAAGAATATCATTGTCCGTGTTATTCTGTGACTAGAAAGTTATACTAGAAGGGAGAGAGATTTCTAGCCTGAATGAATATGTGGTTCACCAGTTTTTCCTCTCCTTGGATACGGATAAGAAACTGAACCTCCTAAAACTGGCCTTTCCCCTCGCTGAGGATCACCGAGATCATTATAGAAATCGTAGTCATAAACCCGATGCCATTCTCTAGTTCTCCCTGGAGTTCCATCTCCTCTCAAGGTATCAAGTTCTTGTTTCCTTAGTTGCAGCAGACTATTTGGTGTTTGGCTTGGAAGATAACACTAAGCATCATAAGATGATCAAAGGCACTGCATATCTTTTTGTTGAAAGATACTTTTACATGTTAGGAGAAATGTTTTATACTCACAGTGTTTGAGAAAAAAATCCTTGCTTTTTGAGTTAAATGATTGGGATAAATCCAAGATTTGCATTCAAAATGAACCATCTGTCTGAATGTAACTTGGAGAGACATTGATTGAAGAAAAAACTTGTGTTTGTGCTGGTTCCAGATGACAAAAGCTCCTGGAAGTCCAAAATCTCGGTCAACCTCGAATGTCAATTCATACTGAAAACCTCTGTTTCCATTAGGCTTCTTGTGGATACGTTTCCCATTATTCAGGTGCGCTTCTTGACTCAGCTTCCCTTTCCCCGTACCTATCCAAAGGGAAGAAGAAAAGGAAGCAAACCTGTTGTAAATTATATAAGAAAAAATAGTAATCATAGTGTATATATCAAGTTGGCTTACTTGGGTCAATTTTTGAGAGACTGTATAGTTTAATACGAATAGCTTTTCCAAGGCTTGATTTTGCAGGGCAATGTTGAATGATGATTTCTCCTTTAATGGACTCTGAATGTTTTTTACTTTCAGCCAGTTGAGCCTTCACACTTCCTTGAAAAACATTCAGACAATCAATTATCCTTGAATGTTCCATCGTTTTCTTTAATTGATATTTGGTGTCAAAATGTTGTCGTTGTAGTATCAGAATTTTCTAATCTTTCCTCTTTGTAAATGATATTATGAGAGAACAAGATCTTACTAGGCGAAGAAAGTTTGTCATAGCTTGAGATTTTAGCATTGCATCAGATTCATTGCCTTGCTTTGAGGTTTCCTTTTAGGTGCTCAAGCAGACAAGTATATACTTAGCAGTAAAGCTTCTCGTCTAATGTAAAGGCTTATATGCACGAGCACTTAGTATGACAGATTTTGAAAAAGCATGGAATGATATAGGATGGGCAGAATAGAATAAAATAAACTTATTTCATTTGAAGTATTGAAAGGTACATATATTTAGTTCCAAGTCGAAGTTTCACCATTTTATCACAAAATACAGGAAGTGGTAAAATCAAGTTGTACTGTTAACTTTGAATAGGCAACTTGATAAATGATGTTAGGTAAAAGATTATGCTTAAAAAATAGATATTATCAAAACTACTTGACACCGGTCAAACTGTCTTTTAATTAAACACTAGTAAATTTGTCCGCGCTTCATGAGGTCGTTAAAAACTTTATTCGACATACAAAATAATCCTTCTACTAATATCCAAATATATTAAAGATTCATACATTTTTGAAACCCAATAGATTAAATTTCAAAGTTTAATCCATCTTTCATCTAACAAATTAATTTTTGATTCTTTTTCTAATTTTCCATCACTTGTGTGTCTAGTCTTCTAGACCTGCCCAAGAAAAAGATAACAACCTAGACTGTCAGAAATTAAAAGGAAAAAGTGTAAAATCGAATATATCGCACAAATCAACGAACTAAAATTCTACAAATATTTTCTCTAATTTTATCCTTTCCTTTTCAGTTCCATTTACCTTTTTCTTCTATTTCTTTTTTCTGTTTCTTTCTCGTTTCTTACGTCCTTACCCATTCATTTTTCAAAGAAAGAAATAAGACAAAACTCCTTTTTTCAAATCCAATAGATTAAACTTCACGTTCTTAATCCATATTTTATTGGGTGAAAATTATTTTGATCCCTCAACTTTACCTTAAAAGTCAAACTCCTCCTCCAACATTAAACGACAATGCATAATAACGATAGGATACCAATGAGATTCAGAGGCATAATAATGGTATGTAACTAAAGAGATACAAAGCATTATTGATGTGATTTTTAAATAAAACTGAAAAAAAAAATTAAGGGCAAAAAAAGAGGGGTCCTTTTTTATTGAAGGTTAATGAGAGAGAGATAGAAAGCATTAGTAGTTATTCTCATCTTCTTATAAGAAGGGTACTCTCACCTTTTTAATTCTCTCTTATCCCCGTGTGAACACCAATAAGAGAAAAATCAAATGCATACAATAACAAGCACATAAAAAGATTAAAAGGGAATATGCACAAAAAACTAGTGCCTGCAATTTTGAGATTGAAAATGAACTATGAGAAGTCCCAATCTCCTTTGAAATAACATGAAATCAGAATGAAAAAAAGTTACCTGAATTAAGACAATGTATTACCAAAATAGAGGTTTCAATAGTTTTATTTGTCCATCCGCAGTTTAATATATTGCTGTGAGACATTTTGGATACAAACAATAAGGCAGGTACTCAACAATGAGAATTAAACTCATTACCAGCATATGCTAAAGTAAATTTTATACAGTAAAATAATATTAAGTCATGGAAGAAATACGATCATACCTTCACGAATGAAAGATGACAAATAACTCTTTAAGACAAACAAAAGGTAAATCGAAACCCAGTTAATATTTAGTACAATTCAAGTCATTTCAAATCAATTTAAACTCAATAAAAATGATAAAAATTAGAAGGCATAAAACACTTATCAAGCTACATAAAGCAGAAACTATGAAGACTTACAACTTCATTTTTCTTCTTTTCCTTCCAGCCATGGCGGCAAGAATATAACTCAATCTTAGAGTCCATAGCTGAGTAAATCACTGTATATTTTAGTGCGAGGGACAGAAAGAGAAAGATACAGATAGTATTACATAAGCACAATTTGATTTATCCTTAATGTCTAGAAAAGAAACAATATGTGAGAACTTTCTAACGCTTTGCCTCCTATCCAACATTTACGTTTTTGGAATATAAAAGCTTTGAAGAGTGATAGCCATTGTTCGAACGTTTTATTCTTTCATTAATGTGTGAGCATTGAGCATTTAACTGCATTAAGTTTTAGTTTTATGTTGGCATGCATATTTCACAGCTATTAATATTGATTTTTGACCAAAAAATGAGGTAAAAGCCAAAAAATTGCAAAAAAAATAAATATTATTACTGGCTTGCCACATCACCTTCTTTATTCCCAACTTTATATAGATATAGATTAGTAAATTTGCCGCGAAATAAATTAATGTATAAAAAAGTCCTTCATAATTTAATTTATAATTTGAAAAAATTGCCAAAGATCGGTGATGTTGTCATGATAAGTGTGGGAAGTCGATAGTATTGTAGTACATACAAATATTTCTTCAATTAGCTTCAAGACCTTTTCATATAATTATAAATGTGTTTCTTAGCGATAAATATGTCATATTACATGATCATTGCGTAAAATGAAAAAAGAAATGTACGATTTTTTTTCCCTTTATCTCTCGTTCCTTCTTTTCTTCTTTTTCTGTCACGACCCAATCCAACGGGCCGCGACANTGACTGTTTTGGCAGCTACACTGTCACGACCCAAACCAATGGGCCGTGACGGGCACCCGATACCTTACTTAACCGAGTACCAACATAACGTATCTGTCATATCATAATATCATGGGCAAATAGCCTAGAAAGGTCGTCATGAGATAACAAAAATAAAATATAAGGGAATACTAAATATTGGACGACCTGACATGACATGAAAACTTATACATGTGACATACGTGCCTATAAAACCAAAGTGATAACTCATACACTGAACATAGGCCGATAAGGCCATATGATTTTCATATACATAACATATGTCTACGAGCCTCTAAGAGTACATAAAATCATAAAGGTCGAGACAGGGCCCCACCATGTCAATCAATATATATCTAAAGCATACTGACGAAATAGGCAACTCCGGAGCAAGTGGAGTACACCAACACCTTCGCTGAGCTAATAGCCTACTAGGAGGAATGTCAACCTATCAATTGGGACCTGCGGGCATGAAACACAACGTCCCCAGGCAAAAGGGATGTCAGTACCAATAAAGTACCGAGTATGTAAAGCAAGAAAGCATAAACAAGAATAGTAATATAAAGAGAGATAGAGCAGATACAACCTGTAACATCTGCGTGCCTCTGTGGGCTACTGACATGAAATGTGTAATACACACACATATATATATATATACATAAACTTTTAAAAACATACGCGTCTGTAGGCATCATCATCATCATCATATCGTACCCGGCCTCAAAGAGGACTCGGTAAAAACGTACCCGGCCATCATAAGGCTTGGTAGAATCATACTCGGTCACGTGGAGCTCGGTAAATCCAACTGATCATTGGTTACACAATATATGTCGTACCCGGCCTACTATAGTGCGGCTCGGTAGAGTAAAATAGATATTATATATAATGCA